GAGCGGGAACCGGTCTGTATGTGGGATCCAAACCCTCGGGAGGGAGCGCCGCCGCGCTTCCCAAGCGGCGCACTTATCCAGTGCGCCATGGGGCCGGCCCCAAAAGTACTTTCTAAATTAGAAGGATACTTTTATAAATATGTTGTAATGTTATGTTCCCAAAGAAGTGAATTTTACTCACTCCTTGGCTTTCATCTCAAAGGGTACTTGTTTTCTTTTTTTTTAATTTGTTTTTGCATTAGTCCATTTCTGTCGCTTACAACAAAATACCTGGAACTGGGTGATTTATAAGAAAATAAATTTATTGCTTACAGTTTCAGGGGCTAGAAAGTCCAAAGTCCAGGGAACACATCTGGTGAGGGAAGTGATTCTACAGCAGTGCAGAATGTCACATGGCAAGAATGGCAGACAAGAAAAAGACTAACCTGTCATGTGCTCTTTTAAAACCCCCAGAACCACGCCCCTCACTGCCATTATTAATCCAATCACTACAGCATGGTCCTACAGTCTAATCATGTCTTCGAGGCTCAGCCTTTCAATTACCATAATAGGATTTCCCACCCTCTTTCCACTGTCACAGTGGGGACTAAGTTTTGGGGGGACGTTCAACCCAAGGCAGTTTTTAAAAAATTTGTTCTTAACTATAAACTATTTTAAAAACATATTTTTTCCCTAATCATTACGTGTCAAGTCACTTTGGGTCATTGATAAAGTATTTGATTGTCATGCCCCTAACTTCATCTTTGCCCCGTGGTGTGTGTGTGTTGTGTCACTGGTTTTCATTTGTAATTTGGCAAACGTTTTTTAACTTTCAGGTGAAAGTACTGAGGAAGAGTTGCTGAGACGGCTACAACAAATTAAAGAGGGCCCACCACCACAAAACTCAGATGAAAATAGAGGTATATTTTGCTTTGGCGGCAGGGGAATGGTCTGATGGAGTGGAGGATGGAATGATAGGAACTTTGTAATAGTAAATGTCAGTCAAAGATTATTCAGAAATGCCACAAAATAATCTGGTGCTAAGTAACTGCTCATAAAAAGAAAACTGGCATTTTCTTGATAATTGGTGAGAATGTCAGCATGTTTTTTCTCTCACCTTTGGGTTCTTTATGTTAATTGGGACACAGTAAGAAATGGCCTATTTAAATGTGACTTTCTTCCCTTGGTTTTTCACCTCCATTGGAATTTCCTCCTACTTAATTCTTTCTTTATAAACATGTGACTTCTTCACCAGCAAAAAGAAATGCTGTATTCTCTAACCCAGTGGTTCCCAGTATGGTATAGTTTTGCCCCCTAGGGGGCATTGGCAATGTCTGGAGACATTTTTGGTTGACATGACTGGGGGTTTGATACTGACATCTAGTAGATAGAGGGCAGGGATACTGCTGAACACCCCGACATGCTATAATGTTCAGCACAGCCCTCATGACAAAGAAGTAACTGGCTCAAAATGTCAGTAGTACAGCTGTTGAGAAATCCTGTTCTAACCTCAGGTCTGGTGTTTCCCTCCCAATGTGAAGTAGGGGCTTTGTGTAACCTAAGAGACTATAATAATAGTTTGGTTGTTGAACCTGCCATTATATGTACGATGCTAAATTCAGACTATTCGTTTGATTTAATCTTCAATTTCATGCCATTTTAAAATCTTGGTAATGTTAAAAAATATTCAAATGCTTTTAAATTTATAGACCTTGTTTATATTTTTGCTATAGCTATAATAGTCTTGTATTTTATTTTAAAACAATCTCATGTGTTATCAAAGGCACGTAAGCCTAGAAGAAGTTATGATGTAGACTAACGAAAATTTGACAGAAATGCAATTTGAACTAGAGTACTAGCACTGTCCCTTAACTAGTGTTTGCCTAGTTTGATTACGTTAGTGTTTTGGCAGTGGATTGAAAAAATGTTGTCTTTTGACAGTCCCACAGTGGTATGCTAGGTTCTGTATATGATGAGATACTGAAAATAGACCTTCTCCGGATTCCCTTTAAAAATAAAATAATTCTCTAGGATTAATTTGCTCTTTTCAAATGGAATTAAAATTTTCCTGCTTTTACAAATGTCTGTAGTGTAGTTTGCAAAAATCTGTAAATACGAAATCTCAGAATTTTTAAGTTCTTACGCTTAATTCAAAGTTTCAGAGCACTATTATATGATTGTTCTAATTTTAGTAGTTCCTTTTTGTCTCCCCCCCCCCTTTGTTTTAAATAGGTGGAGACTCTTCAGATGATGTGTCTAATGGTGACTCTATAATAGACTGGCTTAACTCTGTCAGACAAACTGGAAATACAACAAGAAGTGGGCAGAGAGGAAATCAGTCTTGGAGAGCAGTGAGCCGGACTAATCCAAACAGCGGTGATTTCAGATTCAGTTTAGAGATAAATGTTAACCGCAATAATGGAAGCCAAAATCCAGAGAATGAGAATGAGCCATCTGTAAGACGTCCTAGTGGAGAAAATATGGAAAACAATAGCCAAAGGCAAGTGGAAAATCCACGTTCTGAATCGACATCTGCAAGGCCATCTAGATCAGAACGAAATTCAACTGAAGCACTTACAGGAGAAGTACCACCTACCAGAGGTCAGAGGAGGGCAAGAAGCAGGAGCCCAGATCACCGGAGAACCAGAGCAAGAGCTGAAAGAAGTAGGTCACCTCTGCATCCAATGAGTGAAATTCCACGAAGATCTCATCATAGTATCTCATCTCAGACTTTCGAGCATCCTTTGGTAAGTGAGACTGAGGGAAGTTCTAGAACCCGGCACCATGTGACATTGAGACAGCAAATATCTGGACCTGAGTTACTAAGTAGAGGTCTTTTTGCAGCTTCTGGAACAAGAAATGTCTCTCAAGGAGCAGGTTCTTCAGACACAGCTGGCAGTGGTGAATCTACAGGATCAGGACAGAGACCTCCAACCATAGTCCTTGATCTTCAAGTGAGAAGAGTTCGTCCTGGAGAATATCGGCAGAGAGATAGCATAGCTAGCAGAACTCGGTCAAGGTCTCAGACGCCAAACAACACTGTCACTTATGAAAGTGAACGAGGAGGTTTTAGACGTACATTTTCACGTTCTGAGCGGGCAGGTGTAAGAACCTATGTCAGTACCATCAGAATTCCTATTCGTAGAATCTTAAATACTGGTTTAAGTGAGACTACATCTGTTGCAATTCAGACCATGTTAAGGCAGATAATGACAGGTTTTGGTGAGTTAAGCTACTTTATGTACAGTGATAGCGATTCAGAGCCTGGTGGCTCAGTTCCGAGTCGAAATCTCGAAAGGGCAGAGTCACGAAATGGAAGAGGGGGTTCTAGTGGTAGTAGCAGTTCTGGTTCCAGTTCAAGTCCTAGTTCCAGTTCGAGTCCTAGTTCCAGTTCCAGTGGTGAAAGTTCAGAAACTAGCTCAGAGGTGTTTGAAGGCAGTAATGAAGGAAGCTCATCATCAGGCTCATCAGGTGCCAGGCGAGAGGGTCGACACAGGGCCCCAGTCACATTTGATGAAAGTGGCTCTTTGCCCTTCCTTAGTCTGGCTCAGTTTTTCCTCTTAAATGAGGATGATGATGACCAACCTAGAGGACTCACCAAAGAACAGATTGACAACTTGGCAATGAGAAGTTTTGGTGAAAATGATGCATTAAAAACCTGTAGTGTTTGCATTACAGAATATACAGAAGGCAACAAACTTCGTAAATTACCTTGTTCCCATGAGTACCATGTCCACTGCATCGATCGCTGGTTATCTGAGAATTCTACCTGTCCTATTTGTCGCAGAGCAGTCTTAGCTTCTGGTAACAGAGAAAGTGTTGTGTAATTGAGATCTGAATTCTCAGCTATGTAGCTGGTATAGTGATGGGCAAACAGGAATCACTTGCTTTATGTCCACTTTTTGAGTGGTGCTTAAATGTAAAGTAAAAACTGAACTGAGTCATTGCTTTCTGAAGGAATCATTGTCCTTTCTGCAGTATCTGTCCCAGAATAAAAGGAAATATTTTAAAAGCAACATTTTAGGACCTAAAAATCTGATTTCAGTACCAGTTGGATTGATAGCATCTCTGTTACTGAAATCATATGCACTTGTCAGTTTCTCATTTGTTATCTTAAAAGATCTGCCTTAGCAATGGCTGCTATCTGTTCCGTGTTGATCTTTAAAATTTTCCACTCCATAGGAGAGGGGTGAAGGAAATTCCCAGTTTAGACTAAGTTATAGTATGTGTTTCATAAGTGATTACTTAAAGCTATACTGTTCCAGTTATTAGTTGACACAGATTCAGTCACATTCTGAATATTGTTTGTTCACCTTTCAGACTAGGTGATACTGGACATGTCAGTGTAAATAACACTAAGGTTAGGATCTTATAAGTGTGTAACTGTCTCCTAAGCCCATCACTGTGGCACACTGTAGAGTGAGCTCATAGTTTAATTGAGATATTTATCTTGTGGAAATAATAAGCCTATGCTTGTGTAAGTGAAAAAATCACATTCATTTGTTTAAAAATGTAAAGCTATTTTATAGAGGCTCAGTACTTTTCAAATGCACTGTTATATTAATGCATTAAAAATTGTAAAGTACCATGCTTAGAAATGAGCAAACTGCTTTTTGTGAGCCAGCATAGTAAAAAACACACCAAACAAAGTACAAAGCTGCTTTTGTAAGTGTGTAGATGTCAAGAGCAGAACATATCTATAATATTTAATGTATGTGAACAGCTACTGTGACATACAAAGAAAAGGACAGTGCAGTGTCAAACTGCGTTAAAGACCAATGGAAATTGTGTATTTTAACTTGGATTTAGGCAGGAAGTGAAAGATGGGAGGAATAAAGAAAAGTGCTCTGAAGAGTTCAGTTTTCATGAAGACAGTAATAATGCAGACATGAACTGGTTTCATAGTGAGAGCAGCAGCAGTGTGACCCGGTATTCTGCTTGAGTAGATGAAGCAGAAGGTCAGCAAATTTGGCAGAGCTTTGTTTTAAGAAAAACAAACCACTACCACCTAGCACAAGTTAAATTGATGTTTTTACAAGTCTGTTCCTCAAAAAAAAAAAAAAAAAAGGTGGAGTAAAGAGACTATAAATCACTTTTAGTATAAGAATTGCAGTTGGTACAGATATGTGTGCTACTAGGACAGTCTCGAATTCGTGTTGTTTTCGAGATTTGCCATTTGAGGTACCAGTGCACACTTGTTAATATTTTATTACTGTCTCTCTAACAGACCTAACATCTCACATTTAAAAACCAGTTGAAGAATTAAGGGATTTTTATCCTTTGTTGAAAGTGAGCCATGTTGGGTTATTTGAAATTCAAATTTTAATTGTGCTGCCCATATTTGAAGATAAGACTGCTGATTCATTTCTGTGGACATCACTTTATGTTGTTTTCTTAGTAGTAAGAATAGACTCATGATAACCCCAGTATTCTTATGAGGCCAGTTGGGGTTAGGGTTAGTCTGACTGTGGAACAGGTATTTGTTTTTCTGGGAAAAGCTGACAGGCCAAAAGAGTGATAGAACACATCCTTGGCCTTTAACGTAGTGAGCTAACTACCCTGACATAGTCAAATACTCTACAAAATAAGGAAGTCTGCATTAGGAATTATCTGGCTACCTTCACTGTTATCAACTTAGCTGTAAAGATTATTTCAAAGCTCATTCTGTCATGTTTTCTTCTGGCTTTCAGTCCTACCTAAATATCAAGGAAGTTAACTTGTAAATATGGTAGTTGTTTACTAAGGATATGTACTGCTCTTGCAAGGAAATAATGTCCAAACAAAGCTTCACTTATTTTTTTTAATATAAGCAGATTTCACTGTTTATGGCGCTTATGTAATACATTTTATCTTTTTAAAAATTGTCCATGTAAAAGTCAGGATTCCTTTATATTTGTGAGCCTCCTTGTCTCCTTTCCTAAGAGTGTAATCTGTGGTTTTCAGATTTGCAGGGTACTCCTGATTGGCTAAAAACAAATCCATTTTCCTCTTAGTATAGAGGTGTTCATTTTAAATACTTTAAAAACAACTGCAGCATATTCTAAGCATGAAAGAAAGCTATTGACAACAGGTACCTCCCTAATCTCCCAAGGTGTATTACTCATTTGTGAAGTATTAAAATAAGAGGTAACTCAAGCAGAATGCTGGTTATGAATGTAGATGTTGAAGCTATTCATAAACACTGGAAATAGTATTTTAAGTTTTTAGTCTTCAGTAGCATGCACATATTGGATATGTGCATGTGGACACTTTCAATAGCACTCATTAATTTCCATTGGTTTGTGTAGAATGAATACAAGAATTTGCTACTTAAGTTTTTATTTTGGGAAGTCCATGACTAATATATACTTACTAGTGTGGACACTGAAGACAAGATCATTTGTAGGTGTCAGATGTACAATGGAGAACAAATATCTTTTTTTTCCCCACCAGCATCCATACACCTACTCTTAAGAGAGCATTTTCTTGCAAAAGACTTTACGTTTAATTTGTATCTTTGCACTTTTTCTTTATTACAGAAAAGTTCTGTCTTTAAGACCTAGTTTGGACTTCATGGGTAATAGAAACAAGGAAAAAACAATGTTGGGAGATTACATTGTTCAAAACATAGGGAAAAGTACTAAGACCTGAACTTCCTTAAATATTTCAGATAGTTTTTAAAATTTGCTTACTAGACTGAAATGTTTTAAGTGTTTTGTTGTTCAACTCCAAGCAGCTGGAAAGGTTGAGCTTTATTACTACTAGAAACAAAATTGTACAAGTTGGGTCAAAAGTTTGCAGGCTTTATTTGTAGCAACAGTAGAAGATGAACCATGTTAATTTGGAACATTTGCTCTAAAAAGACCACATTAGTTATACTTCAGTGGTGTTAATGGAGATGGGGATTGAGAAAAGTGTTCACGTTAGTGTTGGAATGTAGATAATTGTACAGTTTGTCAGAAAACCTTTAGCGCCAGGATAAACACAAAATCTTTAAGAACATGATTATTGGAGTTCATCCATACTTGAGGATTAGGAAACTGGTTAGCTATGTTTGTTACCTCAAGTAATGTCATATTTCCCCCCTCCTCCCCAACACGCCCTTTCCGTGCCAACTATTTTCTCCTAGTGTCAGTGTCTCAAATTATATTTATGAAGAGTTATCACTTAATATGCTTTGTATTTAATCACCTGCTTCCCAAGTGTCCATGACATGAAATGGGTGAAGCATTAGCCTGTGACTTTCAGTCAGTTCCCAAAATACCCATGTGATAGGGAGGTAAATGTTGCAAAATGCCTCTTAAAAGGCCATTTTTACAGCTTGCTAGAATACGGTGGCACCTTGTGGTGGTTGTTATTTTTCTTTTAAAAATGTTGGATATTTTTATTATCCCCTCTTTTCTCCTTTGTTCTTTTGTGAACGAAAAAAAAATTGTAGTCTGCCTTATTTGATTTTTTTTTTTTTTTTTTTTTTTTTTTTTTTTTTTTTTTTTTTTTTTTTTTTTTTTTTTTTTTTTTTTTTTTTTTTTTTTTTTTTTTTTTTTTTTTTTTTTTTTTTTTTTTATGTTTTACCTTACTGGCTTCCCTGTCAAATGTTTTACCAATGTTAAAGTACACAGAAGCCACGTTCGCAGGGCACTTTTATTCTTTTCTAGTCTGATAAGACTATGCTGACTCCCACTTTCTGAAGTATTCTGTATCTTAGTAATACAAGAGATTGATAAGACACAAGTTTGTGTCAGGTGTCTTTTTTTTTTTAAGTATAGTATAATTCTTCAGTATGTTTAATATTCAGTAACAGTGTTGTAATTCATTGAGTTAACTAGTAAATTGTGTGCTTTTGAAAAAAACATTTGAAAATGTAAATTGACATAACATGCTTCATTTGGAAAGTTAAAGTGCAAGGTTCGAGGAACTAGTATTTCACTTATTTCTAAATCAGATTTTTAGTAAGCAATTAAAAACAGCTGTGAGTTCAGTACCCGCCCTTTAAAAATTTTAGCACTCTGAAATTAATGCTTAACTGGAACACTTATAAAATATTATCTAATACTCCAAGTGAGTGATCACATTTAGTTTGTATCTAAAAGTTTGAATCTAAAAGTCTACAGCATAGAATAGAGCTGTTATTGGGGTGTTAGCACTCTCAAAGAGTAATAACAGAACAGGTTGTGTCAGTTTTATGATTCTTTTCATGTCTGTTTGGGTGTTTTGATTCAAAGCCGAAGGAAATAGGCACATTCTCCAGCACTCTTAAAATTATAGTGATATTTTCTTGATTAGGATTTGTTTACTGAGGTTCCACAAGCTGCTCTGTAGTCAGTTGGGTTGAGTGGTAGATATGTCAAAGACATGCAGTGCAAATGAACCCCGTCATACCACTGTGCCTCGTTATTTCAAGGTTTTTATATCAGTTCCTCATATTGCAGATTTATTCTAATACCGAGGTGTGGTTGAACCAGCTGCCCAGCCTTAACTCTGTATCTAGTGCTCCACTACTAACATTCTTGTAAACTGATTGATTTGTATGTGTATTAACTGTCCAATGTTTGGATTTTACCTCTTGATAGTTCCATTTGTCCCTGGTGCTGCTTTTAAAGATGTAGGGCCATGTGATCAGGTATCAAGTTGAATAGGTATGCAGTTGACCTGGTTATGTATCTGTGCCTGTTTTATCTTCTCCCAGGAAGAGCTGCTTTGGTATAGATGTTTACTTGGATTCATATAAAGAACTGGGCAGCAATCTTGGAAAGCTTCTGAAGCCTATAAGAACCTGAAGAGATTTGGAGGGGGAACAATAACAAAGGCTGCCTTTATATCTTTGAACATGAAGCACATAAAAGTATGTTCTGTAAAGACTTAAGTGATTGTTATACCAGGGCTTCCTGACCTCTGGGAGAGATGCAAAAAAGCAGAGAGGAGCACAAAGTGAAGTGAATTTGTTTGGCTTGC